TATTTGTATTTTTTAAATTTATGACAATATAAATTCAACATGGCTGACAAAAATGCTGAAGCACCAAGTATATCTACCTCTATCTTTTATTCCATTGAGATCCAGACGGGCAGACTATGCATGAACACCATGCTTAACAAGGTATATTTGTTTGCTCATTACATGTTTGGTCATTCCATTTGTTTGGAGTTTCCATTCAGCTTCACTGTGACTTTTTATTTAAAACTAACCAAAATGCAACTTTCTCAAAGGCATTTTAATTAAAGCAATAATTTGAAATGTGAATAATTTCAAATTATTGAATTTGAAATTAAATGAAATAATAATTTTAATGTAGTGCTTCTCAGTCCATTTCTACAGGCCGCTGATCGTCTCAGTCACGGTGATGGCTGGTAGTATGTTTTTTGTTTGGCGCAGGAAAAAGTTAAGGAGTAGGGGAAGGGAAGCTTGACAACCAAGCGTATAGCGAAAGGATGTATGACGAATACTGCCCCAATAAAAATAATTTAACTCTCCGCTCACGCTGACATTTTATTGTATTATATATATTTATCTTATTTCATTTATATATGGGCCATTCTACAGAATTGCTCCAAAGTCAGAGCTGGAAATGTCTTGAAAAAAATGTTTCTTTGTATGTATGAAAATTGTATAATATCCAAGGTACACATTTCTAGTAATTGTGCAGTAAATTCTTATATTGTATTTCCAGAATGTTTCGGAATATTTGTCCTCTCCCCAAATTTGTCACTACCGAAACACAGTGATAATAATTTATTTAGAAGGGTTATATTGACATATTAAGATTTTGCTTACATCTGCATTGTAAATATATATTTTTGCTATTTTATAAAAAGTTTTATTAAATTATGTTCAGAGGTAAATCAATAACAGTTACATTTTTAACAATATTTTCAAATGTAATTTATGAGATTTGTTGTATTTTGAATCAAACATTTTTCTTTGTAAAAGGCTTGTTTTTTCTTTGTAAAAAGTACTGATTTCAAAGTTAAGGATTCATTAGTTTGAATACACACTGAATCAAAAACTTTCATAGCATCTTAGTTGATAATTCAGTATACTTTCTTTTTGACAAAACATCCAATGTTTCGGTTGTGACTGCACATTTTCGGTAGTGACAGTAATGCTTTGGTAGCAACCACATCACATTACAGAATTTTAACTTGCATACTAAAACATTACTAAAACATACTAAAATGCAAAAAATTTGCAAAACCGTACTAAAATTTTGTTTATTTCCCCCAAATATGAGGATTATGTGTTCCCTTTTGCCACTACAGAAACAATGATGACATGTTTCGGTCGTGAAATTTTATGGGATAACACCCCAAAAAAAACAAAAACAAAGATGTCACTACCAAAACTCCACCAAATGTTTTGGTAGTGAAAATTTTAGATACTTTTGAACCTATCTCAAAGATGCTAATCATCACATGGTTAGCTAGCACAGTTCTGAACAGTTGTACACACATAAAAAATGTAATTAAATGGAAAAACTCCCAAAAAAGTGTGCTTAATTGCAGAGATAAGGTGTTCGGTAGTGATGTTCCTAGAGTTACACACATATTTTTCAGACTTTTAAGCACATTTACCTCAAAATGATGGGGCCTATCTACTCACCCTGTAGCTATGAGAGAGAGGGACACGAGAATATTTCCTGATGTATAAATGTAGGGGTGTAGTTAATTTCAGTCTCAGCCAATGGACTAAAACATGCACTGTTTCGGTATTGACATGAACATGTGGGACACATTTTTTTTTACATAAGGTTTCATAATGTACAAAGAAAATATAAAATAATTTTTTTGAACTTCACTTTTTAAAACAATCAAAAAGATTTTTTTTGAAAAACAGCAATGGAAAAAAAATAAAAAAATTATTTAAAGGGGTCCTATTATGCTTTTTCACTTTTTCAATTTTAGTTAGTCTGTAATGTTGCTGTTTGAGCATAAAAAAGATCTGCAAAGTTACAAAGCTCAAAGTCCACTTCAAAAGTAGATATTTTATTTAACAGAAATCACTTTTCAAAAACTACAACGAATGACTCGTTTAGACTACAACGCATATTTTCCGGGATTTGTGATATCACAAATACCAACGAATGGGACGAGACCTGGTTGAGCTGCACTAGAGAAGGCAACGAGTGTTATCACTATGTCGGAGACATGCTAGCTTTCCCAAGGCAGACGAACTTAGAGTGGTTACAATTATCCGGGTTTAAATCACGCTCAAATTGATTTGATTTTGACGCAATATTTACACTGAAGCTTGCAGGTAAGGGGCATCACATTTCCCGACCAGGTGCCGAGTGCTGCCAATCACAACACACACTGGCCCAGCTAACCAATCACAGCACATTTCGTATTTCAGAAGGCGGGCCTTCATTTGATACAGGAACTATTCGAGCCGTTCATGCCAGACTGGGGAGAGAGGTGTTGTAATAATGTAAAATATGTGAAAAATAATGTGTTTTTCGAACAACCTAGTATGAGAGCCTGTTCTAGTACACCCCCAAAACAAAATCAAGACTTTGTAAAAGAGCATAATAAGACCCCTTTAAGGTTTGACTTAAGTGTCAAAAAAATTATTAGCTACAAGTAGGACTTTTCTAAGAGTAGGAGACTTTTATAAAGAAGCTAAAAGCAAGTTTTAGTAAAGTCTAAGGCTGATGATACACGGGGCAACTTTTTGAGCAATGGGCCCAAGCAAAATTGCTCAAAAAAGTTGTCTAGCAAAATTGTTCAAAAAGTTGCCCCATGTATCATCAGCCTAAGACTGGCTCCAACAACTCCAGAAAAGCCCGCAATCCTCATAAAAGTGGCGTGTTTTTGCAGCATTGCTTGGCGGTCAGTTGGAAAGTCAAAGAACTGCCATATAGTAGTGGCCAAAAGTAATGTCCGGCCTAGGAAATTTGACATCTTCACCCTTAATTAAAAAAAAACCGTGTTAAAGATTTTGTAAGCATATTGCACAGCTGCTTAGAATCAATTGTTTTATTTGTGATAATAATGCAATGAAACATGCCAACATGCCAATGCGGTCATACTTTTTGGTCATGCTGTCATACAAAGAAATTATGAGCACATGCAAAAACAAGAGAGGACCAATGAAATATTAATAACTGATTATGTTGTAGTCAATGTAAATGTTGCCAATTTAGTGATTTTGTCACTAGATTTAGATACTTCCTCGCCCCTTTTGAGACTTTTTTTCAAAAGCCTAGCAACAAAATCAATTTCTTGGACAAACTTTATCTAGATTTCAAGACTCTAAGTGTTTATGTAGTTAATAAAGTCTTACTTGTATCACACTTGACGTTGTTCATTGTTTGCTCATAACTGGAGTCCCTTAATTATGCCGATTTATGCTACAGGCTCGCTGTAGAACTGTACAGTAAGAAAGTTATTTACCTTAATCAGGAAATTAACGTTCTTAGAATTGACAGACAGTTGACCCTGAGAGGTCAAGTAAATATCTACAGCGGATCTAAATATTTATAATTAATTATAACTAGTTATGATTAATTATTCATATTTCCCCATGAGCTGATTCGCAACAGATGTAATCTAGCAACATTTAGCGACTGTTTTAGCTGCTTTCAATTGAAAGCAGCTGGCAACACTGGTCAGTATTTTTTCCCTCATATTTTGATGTTTTAAGTGAAATGTGGGGTCATTAAAAAAAAACAAAAAACTCCACACATCACTTTTGGCCACTGTTGTGTTTGATGGGGTTAGTGCCACAATATTTAAGACCCTCATCACCAATTTTCCAGCCAAAAATGTGATTACTGCTTTCATTTCTGTAGTTAGAGCATTGATTTTTAGAGTGGAAGAAGTTATTAAATTTCTTACTTGGTCACTGTTACAAAAAGAATTGACTATCTTGACGATCAAGTTTGTATCGTTTTATTAACTCAATATCATCATGCAAGTCAATACGTCATATCTTTGTTAGAAAGTGTGTGTGTCTCCTCCTCTTTGCTGCCATCTTGTTACCTCTCCAGCTCTCTTAAATAATTTAGGAGCTGAGACCTAGTCTTAACACGTAGGAACCTTTATGAATCACTCTTATTCTTAAGTCTAGGAAAAAGAGTAAAATTACATCGTTCTTAGAATTTTGACACACTTAAGACTGAAATTTTACTCTGAGCAGCTTTATAAATACGGCCCCAGGTATTTATAAAACCCTGTGTACTGCCCTGCTTTAAATCAGTCTATTAAGTTTATATCATGGTTAAATGTTGGTATATTCAACTTAAATTTAACATTCATCTTTCACAAGATTTGTACAACAACAAAACAAAAACAAACAAAAAAAAAAAAACACACAAAAGTGTTTAGTATTTTAGTATTATTTATAGGCAGGTCGTATTGTTGACTAGCTGAGGTCACTGATCTTGTGAAAGTTTAAGAGTCATATACTTCTCCGAATTTAGCTATTGTTTGTGATGAGGTAGAATGTATTTTTTCTTTATATGTAAAATATCTGAAGGGCAAATTGAATGATGCCGAAAACAGCAGGTGCAATTTATTTTGATTGATTTCCCCCTTGGTGTTTATCAAAATTAATTATTTTATTGAGATGCAGCTTCAGGGCCCTGTTGTCTTTGTTGCATTTTCTGCTGATATCTTGTAGAGTTTTGGGAAGATTAGGTTGCTTTGGAAATGCAAATGTTGTGTGATGTGACAGGAGGGACGTTGTTATGAAACTCTTGTGCTATAAATCTGTGCTCTTTGCTCCATGAGGTGGTTCATTGTCGAAGGAAAGGTAAGAACATAGATGAGAGTCTGTGACTGGAGCATCATGCAAAATAAGATTTCAGTGCAGATTTAATCTCCTGTTTGGTCGATTTAAGTATTGCATTGAAAATCTAGTGAGTTTTTAACATGTAATTCATTCATAGAGATTCGTAAATCTTTAAAGGCTGAAATTGACTTCACTCCATTGTTTCAGGGAAGCTCCAGTGAATTGTATAAATGGACGTCCAAATCAACATCAGCCAAAATGGAATCTGGGAAAAGCCTTTTCTCTGTTATGAGTTTAGTAACAGGTCTTGTCAGAGATTTATCTATCCGTTGGAAACTCGAATATTGCTCTACATCCTTTTTAGCGTTTCTTCAATTGTCACAATCATAGGAAACCTGCTTGTGATTATAACGGTCATTCATTTCAAGCAGCTTCACACACCAACTAACTACCTCATCCTGTCTCTGGCCGTGGCCGATCTGCTTGTAGGAGGAGTTGTGATGCCTCCCAGCATGCTGCGCTCCATCGAGACGTGCTGGTATCTGGGAGATTTGTTCTGTAAAATACACAGCAGTCTTGATGTGACATTATGCACTGCGTCAATATTAAATCTATGTATCATTTCTTTAGACAGATATTATGCCATATGTCACCCCTTTCAATATCACAGTAAAATGACATCACTTGCCACACTAGTTATGATTATTATCTGCTGGACTGTTTCAGCTGCTCTGGGGTTTGGCATGATATTCATGGAGCTTAATATTCTGGGCATTGAGGATTTTTACTATGAAAACGTTGACTGTGATGGAAAATGCTTGGTGTTTCAGAGCAGAGAAGCAGCTACTGTAATGTCATTGGCCTGTTTTTATGTTCCTGCTTTTGTCATGCTCTGTGTGTACCTCAAGATCTTACACACAGCTCAACGGCAGGTTCAGGCCATCCAGAGTGTGAATTCTGAATTTAAAAAAGAGGGAAAAGCTACTAAGACTTTAGCCATTGTCATGGGTGTGTTTCTGACCTTCTGGATTCCTTTTTTCCTTTGCAATCTTATCGATCCCTTCATCGGTTACTCTGTACCACCACTGCTGTTTGACTTGTTCCTGTGGGTCGGATATTATAATTCCACCTGTAATCCCATAGTGTACGCCTTCTTTTACAGCTGGTTCAGACATGCTTTCAGAGTCATTCTGTCTGGAAGAATATTTCAGAGTAATTCTTCAAGGACAATGTTATTGTAAATGTGAAATCACAGTGATCCTAGCCAAATGCCTTTAATGAAACATACTGATGTGTTCATGATCTGTGTTAGCTGTCATATTGCTGTATTTTGATAGCTGATGGGCCTCAGGATTTTATTATTGTATTTTTCTTTGTGCCCAATTCTGTCTTAGCAACACAGAAATAAAGTCCATTTGCCATGTTCACTGATCATCACTTGACTTAGAACTGACTCAACCAAAAAAATGATATACTGAGTTTTAAATTAGTCTTTGACTTGTTTAAAATATCTCTAATTGTACTTGAAATAGTGTCTTGAATGTAGAGAATGTATCTTGAATAAAAGTGTATTATTTTGTAATACTTTACAATAATGTTTCATTTTACTAACATTTGTAAACTGTTTTGTTAACAAGAACTAATAATGAACAGCATTTCTTAATCTTAGCTGATGTTAATTTCTGCATTTACTAAAACCTAAAAGTTGAATCTGTTAACATTAGTTAATTCACTGTGAGCTAACATGAACAAATATTTTATTAACTATAAACATTAACAAAGATTAATAAATGCTGTAAAATATATATTAACTAGCCTAATGTTAACAAATGAGAACTTATTGTGATGTTTTACTATCATTGTACATGGAAGTGAAATAAATGCCAGTACAGCAAGACAAATAAGTCTTAATTCTCTTTTATGCAGTGTTGCTTCTCAAATTTGTTTTGTTATAAAGATTTTTAGTTTTTTTTATTTTCAGTGCAGAGACCTGCCTGTGGTAAAACAGCATGATCAGTGCTTGATCTAATCTAATGCAGTCACACAAACTGAGCTCATGTTACAAAAGCTGCTGTGGCCTTTATTGTGTTTGTTCTTGTGTGTCATTTTAGTAGGCTTGTGTGTGTGTATATGGTATTCCCTATGTTATGAGGACCAAATGTCCCCACAAGTATAGTAATACCAATTTTTGACCTTGTGGGGGCATTTTTTTGGTCCCCATGAGCAGTGTTGGGCAAGTTACTCTGAAAATGTAATCAAATTACTGATTACTGATTACTCCTTTTAAAAGTAATCACGTTACTGTCCTGATTACTTTATTTCAAAAGTAACTAGTAATTAGTTACATTACTTTTTTCTCCATGAAATTTATGAAATCCCAGCATACACGCTCCCGATAAATATTTGTTATTAAAGCATCAACATTCACAGAACACTGTTATTTTTAACTAAAGCAAGCGGCTGCTGCGTGCATGTTTTGGCATGGCAGAATGCCAGCAAAGAGCGTTGCATTTATAATCTCTAAAAGACATCTCAGTTAATCGCAATCTCACAAATCTCTGTTATAACACAATAAATATATGCATAATGAATCTTTCATAATGTCTACAATTCGTGTGTTATAATGAGAGGATTCGTGAGCAAGTAAATTTCAGCACTGCATTGCTCAACGCTGCAAACACGTGTTATAGCCTAAATAGAAACTCTGCATACGCTTGCACCCAGGGCCGGATTGACCTCTTTTCGTGACATAGGCAAAACAAATTTTGGGCCCCCCTTCCCTATTAATATAATAGGCCTAATTTTACCACCCAAGCAAACAAAAATATTTCATAATCAGTGGAAACGTTACAGTGTTTTCATGTCAACATTGGCTACCAGAAATCGCTTACCCCACCTTTAATAGGCGTGGCGTACCACTTCGGGAGTTATTTCTCTAATAATTTTAAAGGCCATGAGTCACAACCACACATCAAGACATTGTTCAGATTATTTGTTTCAAGACATTTGACATGTTTCCATCCTGAAATGTGAACTATTTTTTACGCACCTCATCCACTGCTTCAAGAACCTCCCTACTGAGAAATGTCATGTAGCTTTTCAGCTGCGAAACTATTTAAATGATAAATTTGCGGAGCAGCGTTGACGACAAGTTTCTGTCCACGTGTGTGCGCGAGTGTGCCTCTGTGAGAGAGAACCGGAGAAAGCATGATTTCCACACATAAAAAAGGTGGAATACATGGAAATAGTTTGTCATTTCTTACCCTATTGTTTGTTATATTTATTTGCTCAATGTCTTCTGAGGTTTTGGTTCTTTAATTGTTGTAGATAGCGCATAGTATAACAAAATATTATATATCTCTTCATTGTGTTTGAGCCCCCCCGGACGAGCGAGCATTGGCACGTGCCTAGAATGCCTATGCGTAAATCCGGCCCTGCTTGCACCTGTTAATCGTTTATATTTTATATTAGTTCATGTTGCTTTTGTGCAATAGATGAATAACAATTTATTTATTTTAGATACTTTATGTTTAGATATTTCTATTTTGTGGGAGTCCCGTCAATCATTTTATTCTCCCGCATCCCGCACACACACAAGCGTCTA